CTGGGGTAATAATATAGTGTAAAGCGCATAGAGCCTGCTGTTGAGATGGGATATACGCTATACAAATGCTATCTATTATTATTGTTATTATTATGGTAGTTAACCAAAGTCCCACTTCAAGCAGGGTTTGAACCTTTAATCACATCAACTACAACAAGTCAAAGCAAAGTTTTTCCCTCCACTTTTCTTTTTTTACAGTTGAGGATTTTACGGCGCTCGCAACTGCATAAGGTCATATGAGCGCCAAGGGGTGAGTGTCAACAGAGAAGTCTTTACAGGGAATCGGACTTACTCTGCTCACCTCTCTAGCTTCAACAGCACAAAGTCTGCTTTCAACAATCAAGCACTCCGGAAACAGCAGGTCACAAGAGAGTGACAAACATACAAAAGAAGTAGAGGGAAAATGACAATAGTAAGGATTGCGAAAGAAAAAGCAGCAGTTCCCTGTTGTAGATCAGGCACAGTTATGAGCGTTACATGATGAATCAGCCCATTTACAATTCTACTATGCTTGATCAAGAAATGTCCCCCCTTTGGGAATGGCCTAAAGACACTACAGTCAGTGGCACTGCCCCGGGGGGACTTCCCCCCACTCAGTCCCCCGTCACTCACGCGTAGATCTGCGGTCGACTTTCTCCGACACGGCACCCCAGCTGATGGTGTCCAGGGATTCGTTGCTGCTGAAACGTTTGTCGCCCAATCTGGTTGTTAAAAAAGACAAGCAATTTGAACTGATCTTAATTACAAACAAAAGCAAAAGAAAGAAAAGAAAAAATGGTTGTGTACAAAGACAAAAAAATCAGAAGAGTAGTGTGCCCAATTTTTTAAAAAAGGTGAGAACTAAAAAAAACCCAAAAAAAACCAAAAAGAAAACAGTTGTGTACCAAAATCCAAAACAAAAACAAAAAAATAAGAAGAGTTGTGTGCTAAAAAATTTTTTTGTAAATTGTGAACGAAAAAACGAAAAACCGAAAAGAAAAGAGTTGTGTACCAAAAACAAAAACAAAAAAAAAGACTTCCGAAGTGGCAAAGTACTTCAACAATCAAAACAAAACAAAAAAACCCAAAAACCATGTCCAGCGTGGCACCAACTTACTTCTGTAGCCGAGTACCCGGAGCAAAGACGCCATGTTTGGGCTGACAGGAGAAGTAGGTGACGCCGTTCACAGAGCCGTCGTTTTTCCCCACCGGGCGGTCCAACTCCACCCCGTACCACACACCTACACACAGAGAGAGAGAGAGAGAGAGGAGTTTAGTTTTAGTAGAGGTTTTACGGTGCTCGTAACTCAAAACAAAAAAAAAGGGGGGGGGGGTGAGAGAGGGGGGGAGGGAGAGAGGGAAAGGGAGAGGGAGAGAGGGAAAGGGAGAGAGACAGAGAGAGAACGAGAGAGAGAGAACGAGAGAGAGAGAGAGAGAGACAGAGAGAGACAGACAGAGAGAGACAGAGAAAGAGAGAGACAGAGAAAGAGAGAGAGAGAGACATGAGTACTGTCATAAAGCAAGACAAACGACCCAAACTTGAAAGCTTGGCTTTATCAACACTTTGCTGTCACACAGCCAGCAGTACAAAATACCCCATCTGGTCACCCAGCCAGGAGAGCGACTGCAACGGACTTCTCGGGCCTGACGCCAGATGACCAGAACAGACGACTTTCACCGGCACATTATTGCACCAAGCGACCGCAAAGTGTTGCACAAAAAACTCCTTCTGTTAATTCAAAGGGTGGGGGGACATGGAAAGGTATTGCTCAAAGCAAGACAGCAAATTAATATGTGAGGCAGCGTGGTGGAATCAGGCTCTCATCAAAATAATCAAAGTGAAGAAACTTGCATTTTTACACAGGTTTGTGAATTTTTTTCAGATTTTTGTTTTTTTGGCTCAACACCTTTCATGCCCATTAAAGAACTCATTTCTGTATGGATTTTTCTGAAAAACGTTGATTAAAGGCACAAAAAATGTAAATTTTCAGTTACCATGGACTCTTAAGCTAAGGAAATAATTCATCTTTGGCGGCCCTTTTCTCACTAATCTTATCTCTGAAAACAGGTGACCCCCCACCCCCTTCATTCGTAAATATCTCGACTTGTATTCAAGATAAATGGATATTTTTCCCCCCCAAATAAAGACAAACGAACAATCTTTAAGATGACACCAATAACCATACATGCCCAAAAATTGACAAGAGCCTGATTCCGCCTCGCTGCCTCACATATTAGTTTTTAACCAGGAATCTACAAAGAATTTCACATCCCACCAAAAATATGCTATCATACACTTTTTGATTGCAGAGATTTATCATTCAAAATAGTCATCTCAGGCAGCGCGTCATATGATTCTCAAATAAACTCTCCCAAAAAACTTCATAAGTTTGACCCTTCCAGCCCCATGCACAAATATTTTCAGCAGTGCTTGTACCTCCCACCGTCCCAAGAGCGCATATTCTCAGTTTCGGGGAGTACCGAATTTGCGCATTTTTTAAAATGGCACTGAACCTAATTAAACTTTAATTTTGATAATATTCGTTCATTTACCTTTATACATTCTTTTTTTGTTATTATCTAAACCTCATACCAAAGATACTACATCACTTTTTAGAATGAAAGCCTCTTTTTCTGAAATACTGTTGTATTGGCTGGGACTGGGGTTAGGGAGTGCACAAAAATGGTTGGGGCTGGAAGGGTTAAGAAAATAGCAGTCCTGTAGTATTGCCACGAGCAGACTCATGGTATGGTGTGGTGTGGGGCACAAACCTGGGGCAAACTGTGTCTCTCCGATAAACTTGACCGTTCCCTTCCTCTGTCCAGCCACCACCACTCTCTCGTTGTAGTCAATGTCATGATTCTCCACCTCAAGGCCAGAATTCTTTCCCAAGCCTGAAAGAACCAGATTGAGCAATTTCAACATTTTTTCACCAACAGAAAGGACTAGGCCTATCTGATTCTCAATCTTAACTCAAATATGCTTGAACCTGAAATTATGAATTAAAGTCACTTTTAATTCTTTGAACAACAGATATGACTTTCAAATTACTTAAATAAATTCTGTTCTTATTGCTTTTATTCATTACTCATTATATTACATCCATAAACTATCCCTAAAATAGAGTTCAGATCATTTAAATGCTCTCCATGTTCAATGCATAGGAGACAGTATTCATGCACATGATGAACCGTTCTTATGTATCTGTAATTATACTGTCGTCCGGTCTCCTGTTGACGACTCCCCCCCCCCAATCTCCAACAAATTCACTGGTAGACACAAGCAAACAGATAAACACAAACACACAAATACAGACCGATACAAACAGAAAAACACACACACAAACAGACAAACACAGACACACACAGAAATTCCCCTGAACCGACACAAACCCACAAACATACCCCCAGCATATCCTCACCAATCCCCCTCTACCACCCCACCACCACAATTTCTCTACTTTCA